CCCCAAAACCCCAAAACCCCAAAACCCCAAAACCCCTTTTCAGCTTTATAAAATTGATGTTCTTATAATAAGAGTAATGGGCCCCATTGTAAAGGAAATACCCGAGATTGCTACTTTCTCTAAAAATGTGTTTGACAGTTAGAACTCCTCGCTCATCATGTCTTCTCCCTGGGTAATCACAAAAGGAGGGATGTTTCTAGGAGTAGGAGTCAGGTCTTCCTGGCTGTTCTCGCTCTCCAATATATGTCCTCTTAAGTCTCCTCCCATGTCTTCATTGATACTGAAGATTGGAGTAATGTTGTTACCAAATTGGTTTAGGATTGAGGTTCCTCCCATTTGATAACTTTTCATTTGCTCATTACTGATTGAAAGTAAGGGTTTGTTCAGATAGAAATCACCGCATCCTTCGACGGACTCCATAATTTGCGAAATATTAGATTGTTCCAGATTAATAAACTTTTCATGGACCTCTGGTTTTAAGTAATTATTAGCCTGAGGGACCTCTTGGTTCATCGAATCCATATCCCACCTTAAATTAAGAGATTCTTGGGGTGGATAGTCTCCAATAGACGGGAACATGTCCATGTTATAGATCGAATGAGGCTTGTTAGGAGCATCCATTGACTCTTTGATATCTTTCTCGAGTTTTACACCTATTTTATTAACATCTAAGTCACAAATGATCGATGGAGAAATTCCAAAGGAACTTACCTTTGATTGAATTCAAATTCTGCATATTTTGTTCAGGAAGGATTTCCTCCTTGAATATGTTCTTTTTGCATTTTACGTCAAGTTTAGGCTCATTCACAACTATTTTAGGAGCCTCGAACCTCAATATAATCGTTTTTCCTGGGTCAATAGATACAATTGAAGGGATTTTTCCAAGATGGTTTTCTACATGGCTCTGAACATTCATATTCAGCTTCTTCGGCTTCATTGAGATCCTCACCATATTTGGACTTGCCTTAGTATTAGAAGTTGTTTTTGAGCAAGCAGAGTTACTCTCACCATTAATCCCGCCAAAGTTATTGGTCTTATTGGATCTTTTAGGCTTCAAAGGAGTTTCTACCAACTGTTTTTTAGTATTTCTAAAGCTAACATCTGAATTTTGGCTTTGGTTAGATAAGCTCAGGGACTCAGAGTTATCAAATGAAGCAAATAGTTTCCTTCTGAGAGCCTTTTCGTTAATCCTGAGGCTAGCCATCTCGGCATGGATGTTCCTGATCTCATTTTCTGACACCTTCTTCAGCCATTTTAAGACCAATCAAGGCTTCTGCTCGTTAGGAGGGGTCAGGGTTTTAAACATGCCTTCAAGGCTTTCTTGTGTCCAGTCGATTTTCCTCTGAATTTCCTTGGGAAGAGTATCAATAAGACTGTAATAAGGATTCTTTGAAGCAATCCTGGCTTGACTAGTGATAATTGCAGTGCTATTATGACTAGTAGAGTCAGAAAATTGTCTGTTTTCAGCCTCTAAATTTCTCTCTTCCTTCTTCTTAGCAGCTGCTTTGGCGCTTCTCAGGTTGGACAAAGTCTTGGAATTGGTCAGTCCAGCACCTTTTCTAGCACGAACAGCTTTGGTAGCAATTTTGGATTGCTTAATAGCCTTCTCAGAACTATTTTGGTTAGGATCATCAGAAATCTTCTGTCTCTTTTCAAGTTTAACTCTTCCGATCTTCTTAGCTACTTTCCGAGGTGTTTTCTTGCGCTTATTTACTGGTTTTGCTGGCTTTTTCAGGACCTGCTTTTTAGCTGGAGCTTTAGACAACTTGTTTTCAAGGTGTTTTTGCTCTATAGAACTCAAGTTACCCCTCTAAATATCAGTGAACAGCAGAAATTTGCACTAAAATTTAAGTATTTCCCAAAGAATTCAGCTTATTGTTTATTTACAGTAAATTCATGAGATACCAAAACTAAATCAACCAAATTTGGTGAAGCTATGCCTTCGAACATGTTCCGATATAACCACACTAAAATGACCAAAGCCCTTTTTGTGACTTCAAACCTCACTTTCAAAAAGTCAAGATCGGGTAAACAGAATGGAAATTAGAAGGTGATAGTCTAGCTCAGCAACTTTAGAGCTAAATAACCACCAAGAACAGTCGGTGTTATATCTCTGTTTTAAGAAGCTGCAAGAATCAATAATAGCAACTATATTGCCTGAACCCTACTTAAACCTACATTAAGAATATAGTAATATCAGAATGAATGATGACACCTATTATTACCATACTACCTTAACACTTGTGATAAAGATTATTGGATGAAAATTCCAACTAGATCATCAAGAAACTGCATCAAACCTTCATATAACACTTCAACCTCCCTGCTACTACTAGTTTACCACTAAAATCAGCAGAAGGGAATCTCTCAGTGCGAAATTTCCGAAATTTTCCACAGTAAAGTAACTCCAGAAATAGTTTTCTCCTCTATACGTCCCAAAAGAACTCTGAGGTTCTATTAAGAAATCTCAAAAATTGTTAAAACTGTTAGGCTCAATTATTCCCCCTTCAAGAGGCCTAAATAAGCTCTTGTGATGCATCAGGAGGGCTAATAACTTCTAGGGAATATTTGAGGGAAGTTAATAAGACTTCAGAACAAATTCACCTGAAGAGCTCTTTCATAAGCACGAAAAGTAGATAGATAGGAAATTCAGCACTTTTAAATTATATATAACTATAGGCAAGAGCAACCCCTCGAGTATTAAGTAGGCTTCCTGTCCTCTGGCAGGTTAAGTGCTTTTGTTTCCCATAAAACTACTGAAAATGTAAAAATTATGCAAGCTAGAGTATTTCAGAGGTTGATGAAATTCACATTGAGGAACACTAAACTAATAGTCCTGTCGTCTAATGAGCTTACCTTTCTTGGCATACCTCCTGGTCTTCTTGGCGGTACTTTCTTTTACAAGTAACATACTTGTTGAAACGTTGTTGTTGGGCTTCATTACTGCTCTCATTGACAAATATACTTAATAGTTTTGACTTCTTTAACAAATTTTGCAAAAAATTTATAATTTTTAACTTAACATAATTCTATAATAATTATCTTCACGGGGTTTTGGGGTTTTGGGGTTTTGGGGTTTTGGGG